TAGCATCAGTCCATTCCATTATTCAAAATATTCATTCCATTATTCAAAATTGGCTATTTCTTAATATTCACGCGTATTTTTGGTATTTAGGTCCTACGTAACCCCATCTAATGTGCATTGCGGCACAATCGACAATTTATATCTATAATCAGGGGATGTAGAATAGCAAAGGTCCAGTTAAAATTTTAAAAAATACAATGTATTGTATTTTAGATTTTATAGAATTATGTTTCGGTATTTAGGTCGTCCATACATTAAAACAAGGAATTTCTGTTAAAAATAGTTAGGGAAACCCACTAATTTATCCTCCGAAACTAAATTAATAAATAAAGATAAAAAATTCAAAGAGTGTTTTGATTTTTTTTTTCTGATATCAATTTGAATATTTGTTAAATAACACCAAAATGACGAATTCAGAAATACGGGATATAGCGTCACAGTCGAAAAATAAATTTTCTATTTCATTATTCAATTTTCAACTTGAATACTGAAATATAAACTATTTCATTATTCATCACTAAATGTTGAATAGTGAATAATGAATTATTTCATTATTCATTATTGAATTTTGAATAATGAAAAATGAATAATGGACGTACTTCAGCGCGGTGTTTAGACTGCGTTATATTTAAAAGTTGACAATGACGGTCAGATGAGTACTGAACTTTCCATTTTTATGGTCAACATTCAAGCATATATATATATTACTCACACTTGATACGATATTCGGATGCTTGCGTTTCCTACATCTATCATTGATAGAGGGTTGCTGCTTACAAAGTAGTTATCTAACCTAAGCATCCTAACACAAAATGTCTCCGAACGTTTTACGGATGCCATCATAATCATATGTAATATTTGTGTCATTGATGTTTCAACTATCATAGCAACAATCTAGTCCTCTTTTCCTCTATTGAGACATCATCGAACGCGACTCATTCTCGAATCTTTAATTTACATGAACTATACTACGGATATCTCAAACTGACTTAGTAGTTTATAGTAATATCTATGATAATGCTTACAGAGTAAAAAACGATGTTAATAGGTGTTAAATCTATTTTCATCGTTTTTTCTCCTTAAGCACTATACCGATAACAGTATCAATTGGAACCAGTACAACAAAACACGATTTGGATGAACTTTAATTTGAATAAGGCTGTTGGTATGTTTGATAGTGTTAAATCGTTATAATTGTATTTTTTTTTCTAAATCACTGTTACATGTCACAGTGACATTTCACGATTACATAAAAAGTAATAACCACATGGGACATATTATTTAATTTTATATTAATGGAAAAGAGAATGAAAACGGTGAATGTATCAAAGAAACAACAATCCAACCAACGAGCAGAAATTAGCCCCATTACATCAATGTGTCTTCAACGCAGCGAGAAAAATCTCGCACACAGAGGCGGGAAGACAATTATATGTATATATTAATGTATATTAAGGACATTTCGAAAGGACTGATGTGTGTAGTATTTTTTTCAATTGCATAGTCAAATAATGATTCTGATCTATGTTCCTTTTCAAAACAAAGTAGTCCATCCGTTTTATGAAGCCGTACTACTTTAATCGTGTCTGCCTTTGTTTCATCCCCCCCCCCCCATTTGTGACATATGATTGCGTAAACCCCTGAGGGTTTACGCAGTATATATTGGACTATGTCCGTAGTCTTTCGGAACACCGGATGTTATTCGGAATACATCTGTTTCTTTCTATGGCCACCTTTCATATACATGCGCAATAGCTTATTATTTGACCTGTTGAATCATTAGCATCTTAAAGTTGCTATAGAGATATGTTACATATGATGCGAAATTTATTATGACGCAAGCTACTTTAATAAACATTTGAATACTTCCTTACGCAATTACAAGCTGCTTATATTTACCTTACATATACGCGTAGTTATTCTAATTAGAGTCAAACGTTGAAACCAGCTGTGTTTAGATATGAGATCAGATTTCACGTAAACAATGCGATTTATATTCGAAACGAGATTTGTTAAAGCTAAAATCTATAAAAGAAGTATTACTAGCATTTCACTTAAGATTCCGAGTCTAGGGAAAATGTTCATAATGTACGAAGCAGGCTATTTCATAATTTTCATACCTGAACGTCCTTGTGGGACTAACTAAAGGACAATACTGAAATTAAAATGAAGTCTTTCTTGCTCTTTATTGAAATTTTACGTCTAGGATAGACCAAGGACGTATATAATCTAAATTGATAGACGTCTTTGAATAGTTTTTATTTTCTTTAAAATTGCAATTTTCTTTGTTTAAATATTGCAACGTTATTTCTTTATCAAATGTCATTAATTAATAGACACCGAGTGATGACAGATGCAGGCAGAGATAAGAAAAATTAATTTCTATTTATAGTTATCTTGGTCAGGGAACAGATTATCTAACTATATGTTCGGCCTGTAGTAATAAATGCTCTTCAAAATGTTCGTCAAAATAAAAATAAATAATTATTATTTCATAAAGACGATCAGATGATGAATTTTCGGTTTTAATATATTAAGTACGAAAATGTAAAATAGTGTAAGAAGATTTTGAGCCATCTCACTGATAAGTAGGCTACACAGTGCCCCCAAATGACCAGTATAAAACTATCAAGCAAAAGAGAAAAAGGATAGCCGGGTCAATGTAAGAAAACTACTAGGCAACTTCAGTTCAATTTCAATATCTCGATTATTCTAATGGATTTGTCAAATGTCAGGGAATATCTTTTTAAATGTGGTAGGAAGACAACTCTCCATCAAAACACAGTGTAGTCATAATTAGCAATTATAGGTTATAATTCAGCCTTCAACACAAAAGCTTGGCTCACATTGGACAGCATCCTACCGAAGGCCCCGAAACACTGGTATAAAACAATTTAAACAGGAAAAAACAAACAGATCTAATTTAACTTCAAACCAGAAACAAAAAAGCAAATATGAACTGCACCAAAAAAAAGACAACCACTAAACAACATGCTTCGGACTTGGGACATATGCTTATGAATACACCTGGTTTAAAAGAATTTACATACATACCATAAGACAGTAGTGTAATTTTACCATGTAAAAGACACCCTTTAATATTTAATGAAAAAATCGAGTTCAGATAAAAAAAAATCGTAAGGGTTCCGCGGAACCCAGTGTCTCGCCTACTTTTGCTGTAAATCGCAGGCTCAACTAAAATGAGGAAAAACATCAATAAAAATATTCCTCTCAATACAATTTTTTTTTATTTTAAGAAGCTTCTGTCCAAGTTTGGTAAAAATCCAGGATAGTTTATAAATCTAAAAAAATTAACTTCAGACTGTATGTAATGTTAACTGGAAGAAAAACTAAGTCTATTTATAAGTAAAATACAGATAAACAGGTACAAAATTTTAACAAAACATTTCCCTCTAGATACTAGCTTTTAATCATAAACAAGCTTCTGTCCAAGTTTGGTACAAATCCAGGATAGCTTAAGAAAGTTATTAAAATTTAAAAAAAACTTTAACCTCGGAGTGAATGTATTGTATCCCAGCAGAAAACTAAGTCCATTTATAAGTAAAATACGGAAAAAATGGAATTTCATTTTTACAAAATTTACTTCTGGATACTATCTTATGATCATAAACAAGCTTTTGTCCAAGTTTGGTACAAATCAAGGATAGTTTAAGAAAGTTATTAGAATTTTAAAAACTTTAACCACAGAGTGAATGTATTGTTTCCCAGCAGAAAAAAACTTAATCCATTTATAAGTAAAATACGGAAAAATGGAATCTTATTCTTACAAAATTTACTTCTGGATACTATCTTATGATCATAAACAAGCTTCTGTCCAAGTTTGGTACAAATCCAGAATAGTTTAAGAAAGTTATTAAAATTTCAAAAACTTTAACCACAGAGTGAATATTTGTGGACGCCACCGCCGACGACACCGACGGAATGTAGAATCGCTTTGTCTCGCTTTTTCGACTTAAGTCGAAGGCTCGACAAAAAGGAGCACCTTACAACAGTTCATAAATGTGACCTTTAAACAAACTCGTATTTATGTGATGGGTATACTGATCAGTGGTATTTTCAGGTTTGACCATGCTAGTTTTTTTGTTGTTTTCAATTTTGTTTGTTTATTTATAAGTACAAGGTGTAAGCTGTTTTGTCTAGGCTATAAATATCTTTTTTAATGAATTGGTTTCGGTCATCAAGGTGAAGAGGATACAGTGCGATTCAAATTGTATATATTTACAATTAAACTTGCAAGCCTTTTTTCATGACCCACAATTTAAAATATAAGAAAACATCAAAATAAAAAGGGACATCCGGAAAATATCTTCAAAGCGAGTTAAAGGTTTTAAAAGTGTTTGTTTTTAACAAAAGAGGTTTGTCATCTAAAACTTTTAAGAGCATACACAAAGCACAGAACTTAAAATTGCCAATGCTTGCTACCCTAAGCATAAAAAACCTTGCAGAGCAGGTGTAAGGATCTTAATAATGATCAATATCAAGCCATTGTTCAAATAACCATGAACATATCTCAAATTCCAATAAAATCGGCTATTTTACAGGTTCACGTATTGCATTTCTTAAACACATATAATCATTAATTGATTAAATTTTTTCACATTTGCATTTGAACTTTAGCCTAAAAACTAACTCTTATTTAAAAACCAAAACGAGCATCTTAGAATGGAACATCAAGTGGGTGACTTAACATGATGTCTTTTGGGAAAGAGGAGAGAAAAACATATTCCTTTAACAAGAATATTTCACCCCACATTGAACAGTATTTACTTTAAGTAAAGTCACTGTCAGTTTCTAATTCTTATATAACAAAAATGATATAAAACAATAAATCTTTTTTTTTTAAACTATTATCTTATATCTAATGCTAAACAAGCATTTGGGTTTACGATTGCATTTCTTTTTTTAAAGAAAGCAACTTGTTCTACTTAATTATTCATTTGCATTTGTTGTACCAAAATATGAATTTGCTTAATTTACAGATAATTTGGCTTACAATCAAACAGCGAAGATAATTCCTGTGGGCCAAACTAATGCAAGCCTTTTAGTCGATGGACTCGTATCAACTTGTAATGATTTTTCTTCTACTGCAACCAGTTCCTATTTGCAGGTTGAATTTGGATCTTTAAGTGTTATAACTACAGTGCATATTGTTTTTGGAGGAGGTGAGCAGATCACGATTAATATGGAATGTTGATTCGTTAATTTGTAGCATATAACATGAACCCAATGTACAGATAAAGCTTGCACTTTCATCTTTCTCTTTCTACAAAGCTTTTGTATTTGGCTATTTATTTGGAAAAGTGTAATATTTTAGTCTCGCAGTTGCATGAACATTTGTAACTTGTATCTTGTTGCTAGATTAGTTGCCATATACATGTAGTAACGCTATAGCTAGATCGTAGATGTCTACAGCTTTTATTTTTATTATACAATTATAGCCTTTGTATGAGGTCGATACGAGGTTATATCGACCTAAGAGAAGCATATTGACTGAGGACGAAGTCCGAGGTCGATATGCTTCTCTGGGTCGATATAACATCGTATTGACTTCAACCAAGGCTACAATTGTTATATTATTAATCAACAACTATTGCATGAACAATGTAAAATTGGGGATTTCTAGAATCTATTTTTAGTAACATGCTGTATGCCCTGTGCAATATGCTGTTTTTGACCTACGAAAAGCTTAACACAGCAGTATTGGCGTGCAAACTGAGCAAATGCAAATGTACATGTGATCAAGTTTTAACGAATCACAAATCCTTAAAAAAATTCGATTAATAATATAAATAAATAGTCATTTTGACTAGATATGCATCAAATAAATTATGGGCATACATCAACATGATCAATACGACAGTAACCCAACGACAATCGAATCTATAAAAGTTGTGAATAAATTGATCAGCAACAATCAAAGATCTATCAATACAACAACATTTTCAAAATAACAATGACATTATTATAATAATTGCATAAGTCAACCACTATGATCGAGGCTCCAACCTTGGAACAGCCACACTAATATAAATCGGGGTTATTATTTTTTCTTTAGCTCAATCTTCCCATTTTTAATATTGATCAGTAGGCCAACAAACTACATACAAATTAAATGTACAATAAAAACCAGTACAGGACAACTAGTTATCTCACGATTGTATTCCTTAAACAAATGACTGCTTCTGTAATATAACAATAAGGAGATGTGGTATGATTATCAGTAATCTTTCCATTTAACTTAAAGAACAAAGATGTGAAAAAGTAACGGTCACCGTATGGCCTTCAACAATGAGCAAAATTTATACAGCATGCTAATATAAGCTATAAGAGGCCTCGTGTTGACAAAATTTGTAACACAGCAAAAGAAAATACCCACGACCTGATGTTTGCCAAAAAGGAATAACCGAAAAACATTTATGCCGACAAGAACCAAGTTGAACGACAACCTACTGATTAAAGACTTGGGACCTGTCCATGAAGAATGTGGCGTGATGACATTTGTTGGTGGGATAAAAGCCCTCTTTCTGACATTGGCTAGTGGTGTAAAAGTACAACAACATCAAAATTGTAAAAGGGCTAGACCCAACAGATTAAAAAATTAAAACTCAACACAAAAACAAATAAAAAATAATTGACAAAATTTGATTGTATTTATTTTTAAGTTATCTATTGTTTTGTCTATAGATCAAACAACGCCTGACGATGGTCATGCAGTCTATTGTTCTAATGCCACTGACACGTGGAAAGATGGCACTTTATTGTACAGTGGCCCACGTTTGGACACAGACATAACCATCTTTGCTGTTTGCAAATATTTGATATATGTACCGCCAATGTTAAGTGGAGATTCTATGTTAGAATTGTGTGAAATAGAAATCGGTGGTAAGTATCTTCATATGTTATCTATGTTTGTTAGATAAATATATTTTTAAAGGGTGTGTTATCTAAAAAAGGGAAACAATATTTGTATTTATTCCGACATAAAAACTGGTGTCAACAATTTTACAAGGAGCATTTTCAAAAGTTGTTTTTAGTGACTTTTTTATTTTACTTTTTGAATGACATATACACATGGATTTAGGGCATTTTGTAAAAGTCAAAGTTAGCCAAACAACCAAGAAGAACAAGAATTTTCTTTTCAGATCAATGTTACGATATAGAAATAGTTATAATATTTTACTCTGCGAACCTTTTAGACGTCTCCAAAAGATTGCATCATGTAAAGTATTCGAAGGAAATGTGTTCTTTTAGAACTATTTGCTTGAATGAAGTATTGCTGATGGGTTTCATGTTATTTCCAAGTTTAATATTTTGTGTCAATTGAACAATTTCGTTGATAGCGAAAGTATATGTGTTTGTTTTAGTTTTTTTTTCGCAAAAAAGCGTAAGGGAAATAAATATATATCATACAAAGACTGATGTTGAGAGAAAACAACTGGCCATTTTTTAATGAAAATCGATCAATATGAAGCTTACACTCGTAATGTACTGAACAGTTTAACATAATCCACGCATATTCTTCAGTTTAATACATCCATTCATCCAGTTTCTAAATAAACCGGTTCTTAGTTCGTTTATCTATTTTTCTGGTGTATTAAAGCACAGGATAATTTCCGTTTCCAAAACAAGTGAATATCTTTTTTCGGATAAGCTGGTGACAAAAAGATTGAAAGTATTGAATGCATACAAACCAGAATAACATGAATTGAACAGCCAAATGTATGTTATGCTGTAATTCTGATTGACAGATTTGCAACCATATTGGTAGCACAATTACACAAAACTATGAACTAGAAATTTACCATATATTGGATAGGGACAAACATTTTGCCTTGAACGGACCCCCTCGAAGAGTTGTTACAAGGGTTCTTAACGTGCATAAAGTGTGGCACTCTCTACATGAGGCATTGAATTTAACGTCCCCATACTAACTAGATGTGGCTGCGTATTTTGTACATCCCGCACAGCCAAATGGACGCCCCACTTTGGCAAGGATTTTACTGCCGGTCGGGAGAAGTTCAAGAGTGACTTTATTTTTTCCCTGTCACTCTTGAGAGCTTTTTTGTAGGATACGTAGTCGTTCAACCTAAATAAAAATAGGCAAAAATAGAAAGAAATGTATATCTCTGTGGTCAATAATAATAATCCATCAAAAAGTTAATTGCTTTCGAATACCAAAACGTTTATGTAACTAATATTCGTTGAAAGTCATGTACAAGTCCAAAAGGGATTTTTTTTTTTTGAATTTTTAGAAAATTGCTTGTGAAGAACGACTTTAAAAATTTAAAATTGGAGTCTTAAAATGTTGATTAGTTTTACTTCTGTTGTTTATACGTGTAAGATTAGGACGATCCAATTTTTTAACCAAAGGACTCAGTGGCGGATACAGAGGGGGGCGTAGAGGGCGTACGCCCCCCCTTTTGCTTGCACTTTTTTTTTTTTTTTTTTGTAAAATGATTAATCAGACTAGACTTCGTGAACTTTGTCATTTCCCGTGTATTTAATTTTTATGCGACAATTCTTGACTTATAAATATATTTTTCGCTCGTATTTACTGTAATATATTATTAATAATGTCAAAGTCATGTGATTCTCTACGGTGGAGTTGACCAGTTCGTCGAAAAAATCGTCACTCAGTCATTATGAAATTCAAATTACAGTAACACATTGCTTAGGCTGAGGATGACAAAGCGACAAAGTATTTCACAATTCCACCCAACAGAAAGTAATACTCTATTACACTCTCATAAAAAAAAGTTCCACAGCAATATTATTTACCTACGAAAACATGTTTAACCCCACACGCCCCAGCCCATTAATAACATTGCTGAATAGTGATCCCCAGTCAGTAAGCTCTAGATATAGATTTAAAATCTAAGGTATGGACCATTTGATCTGAGGGGGCAGTCTGAGATATTTTAGAGAAAAAATTCTGACCCTGATTTTTGCCTTAAACAAAAATTCTGGCCGTATCTGGATTGAAAACAATAATCTTGTCCACTTTTTTACTATTAGAAAAAAATATTTTCAACAGAATTATTTAGCATTAAATGAACATGATGAATAAAAAACGGGCGTAATTTTTTTTTTGAGAGGGGGGGGGGGGGTTGCATGTGAATCCTATATCTGACCGGAATGTTTGTTTCGCCGAACTGATATACTGAATACTTTTTTCAAGGCCCGACTGCAACCAGCCTGCTGTGTGTGGCCTATATGTCTCCATGTGTCGACCGTCATTCACAACTTCATTGTCATTTCCGACTCATTCGTAGCCTTTGGTTGATTTGGAACCCCTCACTTCCCTTGTTGGGTGAAACATTTCAACCAAACATTTGGATGAAAATTGCTTGTTTGTCTTTCTTCGTGTCGGTCGTATCGTGAATTTCATTGAATAGCCGTATATCTTGTTTACAACAAGAAATCTGTGAGGTTATGCTAACTAACCATACAACAAACGAGAATTTTCCATGTCCATTTTTTACTGACAAATCCCACATCAAATATATTAATTAGTACATAGCTTTGGATCCATCTAATCATTTCATAATAGACAATTGATGGAGAGAACACGGCACCAAAAATGTCCAACCCCTACACTTTAACTATAAAATGCATTTTACACTTATTTTATATTTTTTAGCCAAAAAAAGGTCCAAAAAAATTTTCGCCTCGCTCCGCTCCGCGAACTTTAATACTACGCCCCCCCTTTCCAAAATCCTGGATCCGCCCCTGGGACTATTAGAACCTTCGCAGAGAGAAAGGATGTATTATATAAATAATAAATCAATGCTTTAAATATAAATAAGAAGATGTGGTATGAGTGCCAATGAGACAAATCTCCATCCATGTCACAACGTGTAAAAAGTAAACAATTATAGGTTAAAGTACGGCCTTCAACATGGAGCCTTGGCTCACACCGCGAACAGCATGCTATAATTTAAAATGCCCCAAAAATGACTAGTGTAAAACAATAGACAACTTCCGTTCGTTACATTTCCGTCAAAAACTCTGGTTTTAGTAAACGTCATTCGTGTGTTTAAGGGCATCGTTACTGCCTCCCCGTGTTGAGCGAGAGGCTGAAAAAATATAATGCTATATTGCACGAATTATTCGGTAAATTAAATTCTTATAATTGATCATCAGCACTGCTATCATTAGGGAATTGTGATTAAGTACCTACGGAACAAACATTATTGCTAGTTTACACTGCATAATGACGATCACGAAGACGCTTGATGAACTTTAATAGTGCAGGAATACAGGCAATCCCCTCAATCTGGTAAATACAAGCACTATAAAACATCAATTGAAATGGCTTGATTGTATGGGAGTTGTAAATTTATGATTAAAAGAAATGTTAACAGTACAGAATGTATGTTATTCTTCTTTCCCTATCATCAGCTGGTGTTTTAAAGCATAATTGAAATTGGTACAACACACTTTCGTATACACTAGTTTCACCTATCAAACTAATCATGCATTTACCTGTATATTTTGATCGGGCAGTAACCATTACTAACCATGACTACTGAAAACAACAATTTGTTTTTAAATGATTTTAGCATCAATGATTTTTTTTTTTTTTGCATAAATGCCATGGAAGCAGAAGACATTTTTTATACTCATCGCCAATCAATTATTCCCTCGGATAGTCTCTTAAACATTAATATGTTTTCAAAGCTTCAGAATGCATACAAAATAAGTGAGAAAAAATAAAAGCAATGGGAAAACTATACATATTATTCCTGTAGAAATTATTCTGCTGAGAAAGACTTGATTCTGATTAATTGTTAAATAATCAATGTAATCAATATGTAATCACTTGTATGAAATTGAACTTAATTGTACTGCTCAAATCATTGGGCGTCATAATTGACAATAATAAACTTTGTATTTGTATTTGATTGTATGTGCATTGAACATGTTGAAAACGTGTATCACAGAACTCACACATATCTAATAAATACTATCATAATTTGCCCGACAATCTAATTGTTATAAGTAAAGGCAATACTAGAAAACTACGAGGCACATCAAGATATTTCCTTATGCATAGGGTTAATGAATGCAAAAAAAAAAAATCGACAAACATAATATTATAAAAAAAAATCCATATACATGTACATAACGGTAAACAAATATGAGAACACTCCTTGAGTACAGAAAACTTTATACTGCAGCTAAACATCGCCTTAGATACAAGCTCTGCTAATACAACATTGCGTTTTAATTCATGATACCTGGTAGCACAAATTCCGTACATTAATGTGAAAGATTTTGGATTTTTAATTTCAATCGACGCAAGTTACGTGTACACCAGAATTACACCCCAGTTCTATTGTTATACTTCATAGTTTCTATTTCTGAAACAAGTGTAAATTGAATAGATCTATTGTTACGAATAACAATGGATTTTGACCACAGGGTGTGACGAGCGGGGTTTCTGGAAACCCCTGCTTCTACATCCCGACAACAAAGTCCATTGTTATTCATTACAATAGAAATTGATTATTTTTTAAATAGCATGAACATAAGAAATTACTAATGGTGTTCACTACAAGTTGTTTCAACATATTAAAAAACACATTTTAGGAAATTCCAATAGCGAAAAAAAAATTATGCATCTATTTTGAATAAAAAAAATCCTTCAAGGGAAAAATAATTTGATTGATAGCGTTGAAAAACTAAATAAAATTGTTCGCGATTTGCGAGATGAAAAAAATTCTGACTCCAACAAAAAACCATACCCCCCTCCCTCCCCCGCCCAACCCCTTTGAAGTTAAAATGGTCGCTCCCTAAATACTCCTTTGCTTGAAAGTAAAATTTTTGATCCCAGTCATATGTCTCTTTTCTAAAGCATAGATCTTAAAATAAACAGATATTCTAAGTCCCGAACCACCCCCCACCCCCCCCCCCCCCCCCCCTTCCCTTGGATCCCGGTCGTCGCGTTTCTAATCCAGACACACCTACATGTATCCCTCAGTGTGTCCGAATAATGAATCTTTGTTTATTCTTGAGAAGGGGGGGCTTCTTTTTTTTTTTATAAAACCGTAAGGGAGCTACCATTTGATTTTTATGGGGAGGGGGGGGGGCTAAGATGAAATTTGAAAAAAGGCAGGACAGGAGTTTTGAGTAAAAAAAAAAGGCAGGATAAACTAATAAAATTAAAAGGGAGGACCGAATAGTGTGAAAAATAAAAAGGCAGGACAAATTTTTTCATTTGTGATAAGAATGCACGAAACGGTCAACCTTGAACTTCTGATCCATATTAGCACCAGGATGTAACGAGAATATGCAAAACAGCAACTTTGACATTTGTAAAATCTACTCACTTGTCAAAGTTTGAAAGAACATAGCCAAAGTAAGGTTACTAGTGGGGTTTCATGTAAAAAAAAAAATTTCTTACAATTCATGGTTCGATTTTGTCAATAAATATGCTATCCATTCTTTTTTACTTAATAATCAATGTTAACAAATATAGGGTTTAGCATTGGGTGTAAGTAAGTTATACACCTCAGGATACGGCGTGTCTGGGTAAGAAACCCCTCCGGCCGTCGGGGTTTCTTATCCAGACACACATATCCCTCGGTGTATAACTATTACAGATTCTTTTAACAGCAAGGAATAACCAGTGATTAACAACAACAAAATCACCAATACCTAAACTGCATGTACCTGTATCAGTCAATAATACCAACGATTGACCGTTCTGTCATAAATGAAATTTTATGACAAAGACAATCATTATGTGTCGGCCAGATGACACCTTGAATGTTTAGCCAACAAAAGACAAAGGTCAATAATAAACGTAACAAGCTTTTATTAATCAATTTTACAAGGAATTTTACACAAATAGAAATGTCAACTTAACTGTAAAATATCTGAATGTCCGATCCAATGGTCTTTTCTTTATCTGGGGGCCTCGGTGGCCGAGTGGTCTAAGTAGTCGGAGCTACTGCATCATTAGCCAGTCAACACTGAGATTGTGAGTTCGAGTCCCGCAGGTGCACTCGACTCTAATCTTAATTGACTAAGAATGTCAGTTTTCCTACCGAAGGTCGGTTCTCTCCGGGCACTCCGGCTTCCTCCACCAATTAAAACTGACCGCCACGAAATAGCACAATAGTGTTGAAAGTGGCGTTAAACACCAATCAATCAATCAATCAATCTTTTCTTTATCTAAAATTTTTCTCTTAACTGTTGCGGAGTTCAAACGGAATATAAATATGTCCAATAAATTCACAAACTGGAATGATGTTGTTGACGTAAATAATCTGGGAATACTTATATATTTCTGCTGAAGTCTAATTCAGTGTCTGTATTTAAGGTTCATCATAACAAATGGACAAATATGGCCGTATTTTCACCTCAAAAACTACTCTGTGTACAGACTTACCTGAGCAGTTTGGAAAGTTTTAGGGCCTGGCATCCACAAGATACATAAAAGTTAAATGTATTTTGTATATCAGAAAGGTAACATCTTTTTTTGGATTTTAATGGGCATTTATTTTCATTCCTGCAGAAGGTGTAAAAATAAACTAAGTTGGGATACAACTTTGAGATGCTCCCTCTCAAGTAACAACTGGTTTGTATTGTATTGATTGTACTTGATTGGCATGGACAATAGATATCTACACATCTATAGGTGAGTTAAAGGTAGTAACTGAGTGGACAGTATCAAATGCAATTCAGGTGTTTGTTTATTTTTACACCTTCTGCATGTATAATTATGCTTTGCTACTGACAATCAATTGATAATTGTTTAGTTTACATCTTTCATTGATTCCAGGATGTCCATATAGAAGATACGGAGTAAATTGTGAACATTTATGTTCAGAACACTGTTTGGGACAAGGGCAGTGTGATTTAGTCAGTGGGAGTTGTTTGTCGGGATGTTCAGATGGTTGGGTTGGTGAAAAATGTGACAAAGGTATATATTATATATATATATAATAATTATATGTTTATCATGTAGATATTTTTGATATTAGAACTGTGTTAATACATTTATATTTCTTTTTTTTTGCGTGAACCCCCTGAGGGGTTCACGCTTATATATTGGCGAGTTTTGGAAGTGTCTATGGGCCACTCGATATCCTCGGAACGTCTCGAAAATTTTCCATCATTTATAATGGTAGTTAAATTTATGTCTTTGATACGGTCCCTCTATGGATAGGCTACAACGTCATATTGTATATTTCAACACTCCGACAAACGGTTCATTTGTAGATTTGAAAGTAAAACAATAAAGACTAGTCTTTATTGTTTTACCTATTTGCCTTTTGACAAAACATATATGATTTTAATAATGTGAATGTTTATTAAATATCAAGTATAATGATAATGCAATTATATAATTCATGCTTTGAGACGGTCCCTCTACTCGTTGTGTGTGTTGTATTTAATGAACCTGGGAATAGTTTATTGATATACAATGACCCAGAATAAACTGATTATTTCTGAACGTTTATCATTTGATATTTAGAATTTCAATCATAGCATGAGAAAATGTCGGAAAGAATGAAGAAAATTAAGAAAATGATATTTCTGTTAAAAATATTTATCAAAGGTCGGAAACACAGTGGTCGGAAAGCATATAATCAAACAAAAGGATTTTTCTGTAAAAAAATATCTAATTTCATTAATAGATACTACCAGAGTCTAAGAGAATATTCATTGTTAAGGTAAAACTGAGACTGAATTTATTCCTAATAATTATAGAATATAATTAAAATTGTAATGTATACGTGCATTATGTCTCACAGGTTTGATCAGTCATTACATTTATGAAAATTATATGTAACGTATGAGCACCAATGAGCTGGGATGCGTACCCAAAGTTAGCTAAATATATTATATATTTTAAACGGTCGTGAATGAAAAATATACTTGCGTGGTTTCAATTCACAAGGATTTTAAATCCTTGCATCTAACAAAAAACGTAATTAATATTTTACAATAATCATAACAAAATTTAATCACTATCATAATGTTTATTTAAAAAAAATTTTTTTTTTCTTTTATTAGTTCAACCTTATAGCATCTAAATATTTGTACTATGGTACGGTTTTGAAAATTGTATTAATTGTGTTGGTCAGCTATCCTACACGTCTTGATTCATTCACATTATACATCACCCTGTTCACACGCACACTATCGGTTTGCGTTCACAAACATTCCGGATAAAATGTCAATGAATCCGGAGTCAAAACACTTGAGGTAGCTAGTTTGACATCCGAATTCAACTATTAGATTAATATATGTGATGACGCAAATGCGTATTCTTATCCAAAGTATCAGTGCGTATGCTTTCTATTTACTATTTCTTGCGCAAAAATACCACGTTCATGCATAAATATTAATTTCACTCGCGAATGCGAATTTTCGTTTTTCTTATCTAAATTCAGGGCACGACAATAAGAGCTTGCCATGTGACTTTCAAGCACGAACATCATTGCTTACGGTATTCTGACATCTCGCTGTTTCTCTTTTGTTTTCTTTTTTGAGTCACTGTTTTTTTATAAACTTTGACATTTTCGAAATGCCAAGGATTTTCTACCCAAGGAATAGATTACTTAACTTCGTTCTTTATTTGGCCTTCTTAACTATTTTTATTCGAGCGTCACTGATGATTCTTTGTAGACTTAACTCGCGTCTGGCGTACAACATTTTAATCCTGGTATTTATTTTATATCTACATGTCTTTTTATATAAATTGGTTCTTTTGAGAGTATGTTCAGGTATTCATAAAACTTCAGAAAATAAGATATTCTTCAAAACCAAGTTTCCCTGTAAACTATTTGGATTGATTTAAGTAAAAGCAGGAAATCCCTAAAATTTGAGATGTTTTATGAGACCAAAATAAGTCTCTATATAAGAGGTCTAAATGAAGCTGGTGTGTTACTCTCAAGAAAAATATACGAAACCTTCTTATAAGTTGCATGCCACAGGGTTTCACTTCACATGGAAAATGGACTTTAAATTTATCTGTACAACATCTACCATGAGTACAGACAACTTCAATAACGAGTTGAGAATATGAAGGCAGCCTTGCAGGAAACAAAATATAAAGATGTGATAGATAAAATAAATGCATCCAGAATATAAAGCAAACTGAGTGCTTAAATTTATATTGCGATTGGTTTGTGCAATTTTCATTATACATCCGGTTTGTAGACACTGGGATTTGCAATAGGATTATAAAAAATGATGTACAATCCCAAGTAATAAATGAAATAGTAGAGCTTTGAAATGTATATTCAAATAGTAGCTGTATATACACTTTTCTATTCACACCTATCCAACATTGCTTTCAACTGACTTGTGCAAGAATATACACACTATTACATATTTTTGATAAAGGTAGTTCAATTTCATCATTATTTCCTTCTATTCACAGTCAATAATTTCAATTCAAAATCAAACAAAAATTCAGCAACAATCTTTTGGTGACCAGTCAGCGATCTTAGGTTCACGTATTGCTTTTCTTTTTTTAAAGAAAGCAACTTGTTTTTGTCGTTAAAACGTGTAATACCAATCCTAATAACCACGACGTGTTTCTTTAGTAGAATTCATCAGGTGTACTAATAACCATGAAATACATACCAGTTTGTAAACACAGGGTACTAGTCTAAGGATAAATGAGGTTTTTGCTGCCCCAATAGCAAAAATGGCAGGCTGAGCCCAGCTGTAGTAAAAAAAAGTATATTAACCGATACAAGTGCGACACCTGTCTCTGAATTAACCTGATACGACGAAAACCAAAGATTTGAAATAGAATGTTTGAAAAAAATATGCAATATACAGAGTTTGTCACTCGTGCTGTGTGGAGGCCGTAGAAAGTTTTCCCTTGCTAGAGGTGTATGCTCTTCTGTATTTTTAAAGTTATGGTGTATTTATTCTTGAGATAACTTCTCTGATGTGTGTCACATCATTCTCTCAATTTTAGGCCAGTTTGTGTACTTGCGCACATAACCTTTTCTTGGCCCTCATCATTTGCTATGTTAAATTTTTCAATTTCAAGCATTTATTAGGGGCGCGGTCTATACACCGTTATTTACACAGACCGCACTGGTTACCGGAACTTTAGATATATCAAATCAGTTACCTCGTATTTGAGAAACAGAAAAATGTGGCCTCCCTTTTAGATTAATTCATACATTTTTGTATTATTCAAAATTATCAGTCAAAACCTTTCATTTGTTACCTAAATTACTAAAATATATTCTACATATACTAGTCAACAAAAGTAACGATACACAAGGTTGAGTCCAATTTATCATAAAATATAATAAATATGAAAAACTGTTAAATTATCCAATGAAAAACGTTAATTTGCAAAGCAAATGCATATGATTAAAAGAATCTGACCAAATTGGAAAGTGAGAAAATACCGTGTTATACATAGGGGTCAAATTATTTTGCGGAAAGTGATGACAAAAGTCGGCACTTAATTTCGAAGATGACAATTAAGTATTCAAATATCTGCAAAGGCATTCAAAATTTTAAGCAGACCATGTTTAAGTTTAAAGTTTTAAGTTCTAATATCGATTTTTGAATTTTTGGGTGAAAATACGATTTTTGAAATAACAAAAATTTCCAAAAAAAAATTCGCATATTTGCCTTATATCAATGGTTTCGATAAGAAAATAACACTCTGTAAATATTAGACCAATTGGGCAATTATTAACCTTCGCACAGTGTATCAAATTTCATTGTATAAGGAAAATACATTGCCATGTATCGTTTCTTTTGTTGACTAGTATAGTTTGATAGTTACACCTATGCGTAGGAACTATTTTGTTTTAAATATCCAGTATGTTCTTTTTCACCTGGCCCGATTTGGTGGTGTTACATCATTCAAAGTCTACCCAAATTATTTCAGTTTGCAAAGAATTCCGCTCAAACCGGTTCTATGGGCCGTCCTAAACTTGTAGTGAGGTGAGAGTTTTTTTTGTTTTTTTTTGGCTCCGTGTTGAAAGCCTGCCTCACTTTGACTTTGAGATGAAGAACAGCAATTAGAGCGTTGTTCTTTTGCTTTTTGTGTGTTTTTGCTGTGCATGTACTGATTTTGTGTCATGGATGGACACCACATATCCTTTGTTTTTCTTTAATATATGAAAGTTGCATTGTATGTAAATATGCTAGGAAAAACAATCGAGTCAGAACTGCCTTAAAAAACACCGATTGCACATTAATATTATCACATCTCTTATATTCTTACTGTATACAAGAAACTGTAGTAAATTGTCAATGAGAAAACTTTGAAACATTTCAACCGAGAAAAAAAATCAACGGCCAGCTGATTTATGACAACACAACAAAAAAAAAACGAAAAAAAAAACCATGTGACAGACAGCGACCAACGACTCTGCCAACTTTAGCAAAGTAAGTACTAGTCACACACAAGACAGTTGCTACATTATATATTTTTTTCAAATGATATAATATCTCTATATCTGTTAATATTTATACAGTGTACGTACATATCTGAATATTCGAGAAAAAATTGGGCCACCCATACAGCTTTCTGTTCCCATAATACGGAAAACACCTTAAATACTATTTACCTACAAAAGAAAGGCTGATAAACGAAATGTAACAATTCCGATTTGCTACATGAAGGATCATTGATTATTCATAGATTTCGAATAACAGAATACATACCCTATCACATATATTTTTTTAACAAAAACAGACCTATAGCTAGCGTGCTTACGTTATTGCATAAATACAAATTTAGGTGTGACAAATATCTGATGCATTTATGACTCAGTGTTTTCATCGCATCTGTGAAAAACAAATCGTCATCGGCTTATGTTCAGATACTTATGATTCAATCAGAAACCTTGTCATATATAGTTCATCCTTATTTCTCGACCTTTTCATATATCACGAGGCTCGAAAAAGTGACATATTCTGGAGGATCATCCCTACTACACATATATATATAGCAAGTGCCACCCCTTTTTCGACAGGCACACCTGCACCTGCTTTATAACAGTTTTCATCATTCTCACGACTTGCTGAGGTCTTGTTGTGTTGTTTAAAAAAAATTGTTTGCTTGCTTAACAAAATGCACTTTACATAATAATAGAATGATTCTCGTTGATTCATGTTTTACTAACGTATAACTACCATTACTATGTAAATACACTCACTTTATAATGTTAATAGGTACAAATGTATACGTCAAAATTATATTAAAAAGTTAGTTATTATGTTTTTTACTGCAATGATGCTTTTATGTTGATACTTGCGGGGGGACTAGTTTAAAGCTTTTTACTTTGATTATTTCATTTCAAAGAGTGCAGTCCTGGTTTATTCGGAAGTCAATGTCTTCGGAACTGTTCAAAGAACTGTTTAGCATGGCCTTGTAATCATGTGACAGGAGAATGTGATGGGGGATGCAAGAGAGGATGGGAAAGACTCAATTGCACAGACGGTATGTTGAATTAATATACACATTTGTAAGAGAGCAACCATTTAATTTCAAGGGGGTGGGGTATGAGTATTTTTGTCGTCATCTGCTTGATCACAATATTTTTTTTTCATCAAATTGTGGATCAGAATATTTGTTTAGGAAAAAACCATAACGACCCTAAGTGAAGAATTTTGTATTAAGATATCATATAGATCTTTTATTTAACGTTATACAATTATATCCTTCGTATGAGGCACATAAAAAGGCTTCATGTGTTATATCATTTTTGTCAATAGCAGTCGAAAACATAATATATAAAACAGAAATAATACAAAATATAAACATACAACAGGGAGGCGGAATATACCAAATCGAAAACGAACTGACAATGCCATGGCAAAAAAACAAAACGACCATAAGACAAACAACAATCTATAAAACAAACTAAAATTGAACGCCTGAACAACCCGAATCCTACCAAAAAACCTGAGGTGATCTCAGGTGCCCAGACAGTTTGAGCAGATCCTGCTCCACGTTGACACCCGCCGTATTGCACATGTAAGTACACACTCGGTGATAAGTCTAATTCCATAGTCCACATTGTATTGTAAAAAAAAATATATATAAATTGTAGATAAGTACACCATTGACCTTTTTTTTTTCTTTTGAAGAAACGTCCCCCATTGTGTTAGTAAATCAAATTGAATAAATTAATTTTGTAGAGCTGTATCTTGTTCAATTTGTTATTTATTATAATAGTCACAAAAGATAAAACAAGTATTTGCGTATACATATATAAACATACACATTATTACAGAATGTAGTAGACGAACATTTGGTTGGAATTGTTCCGAGAAATGTGATGGCTGTATAGAAGATTCATGCGATCATATGTTTGGGGTCTGCAAAAACATTAGTGGATGTAAACCAGGCTATGAGTATGGACGATACTGTAATAAGAGTAAGCAGGATCCTTTTCTCTCCTATAAATGTCCAGTCAAAAAAATCCTTAAAAAAAATATTTTTATATTATTTGTAGTTTATTAATCAAAGTTACCCATCAGGTTTATTTATTGTTCTAATTAGTATATTAGCTTCAACTTAAAAAGTGAAAAGCGAATATATAAAAATAACCTTCGATTTATTCTGCTTTGACTCCAATTAAAACTGATACAATTTGAAAATGATATAAATACATTTTTCCTTTGAAATTTTTGGAGCTGATTTGGTATTGAGACTTAGAAATGATTTTGAGCTTCATATTACACTTATGTTTTGTTGAAATCCATAATTATGTAGATCTCTTAGATATCAATTGTATTACTATACAGACATACGCAGTTCAATTCATTTATCCATCTAGACCACCGTATATCATTGTCAGTTGAACTGTTCGAATACTCAACCTTTAGTTTTCAGTTAGTTTTTGCTGTTTCGTATACTTATTTCCCCGTTTCCCAACAAGACTGCCTTAATTATAACTATTAATGCGCGTTGACTTCTGATTCCTACATAACGTTATATTTTCATCGTAATCACCCATCTGTTATCTTATATATACTCTTATACAAAAAGACATTCAGAAAAACAAAATAAATGTATACATAGGTAATCTATTTAATTATTAATTTCAACTGTTTCAGAAATAATGTTTTGTTGTTAAAAGTAATGTCAAATACAAATCATCAGATACGAGTTAGACAAGCTAGGCTAGATTTGATATTGGACTTATTATGTTGCTAGAAATAGAGGATAAAATAAGCTCACAAGACAGGTATTGTATACAGATACTGACGGGGTTAAGTGAAACCTCATGCCTAACATTGAGGATGTTAAGGTTATACATTTTACAAACTGTCACAGCGTATGTTTTACTTTTTACTAATTGTATGGTGAAACTCATAAAGAATATCCTTTGCAGCGTGTGCAGATTGGTATTTTGGGACAAACTGTACAAATTATTGTAACTGCCGTGAAAATCCATGCGATCGATATTCTGGTCAATGTTCAACCGAAGGCTGCAAAAGAGGATGGTATGGTGTCTCATGTGATCAAGGTAGAATGTTTATCATTTGTGTAAGGCAAACTATTACATAAGAATGGTGTATATAAAAAAAGGAGTTGTGATATGATTGCCTATTAGACAACTATCCATAAAATTTAAAATGACATGGTTTGGTGGTTAAATTAAATGGACCAATGCCAGTTAAAAAAATAATAATATACCAAACACAAAAGTTTAAAGATTAAGTAATATAAACCAATCAAAACACAAAACAATGGGGATGAACTCATGTTGCTCCGGAAGCTACCCAAATCAGTTAATGGCAATTACATGTATTCGTGATTTTTTTTTATTTCAACGCATTTCCTTTTGGCGATTAGTACACTAGCTAAAAATAAAAATTCAACGATTATGATTCCATCTTCTATGGCTTGAAGTATAGAGTTTATTATCCTAATTCATCTGTAAACTGTGTTTCATTTCCAAAATGTGACTTGCATAATATGAAATGTTTCTTGGGGAAAAAACACAAATGTCATATTTCATTACTGACGATAGTCGATGAGATGAAAAAAAAAAAGAAAGAAGAAAAAAAAAACACTATTTCAAAAGATTATGACTATAAAAATTGTTATTCGTACTATGATTTAATTGATTTCTTGGTACTTAATTTGAACGCACCTCCCATGTTTATCGAGAAATAAAAAGCCAGTATCACGTGCAATCATTGTTACAGTATTCACTAATTTAAATTGCGTTTTTTTATCAGAATTTTTTTTAATTAAAGTTACTACTTACACAGAAGCTACTTAAACATTTATCTAAATGTATCAGCCGGCAATTCTTCGAAAGTGTTTTTGCCATCCTGAACCTTTTAACCGTTACAAAAAGCATGTATCTCAAATATACATGGTTATATTTCTTACACGAGCAATTGAGTTCACCACGGATTTTAATGGGGTTCGCTCTGCTCCGGTGTTTGTCCTTTTATTTTTTTTACTTCGTCCGGTCATTGTCTGTTTTTCATTGACTAATGCAATTTTTGATGGATACATTTTTTTTTCTTTTTAGGGTCAATTAAAAAAAAATTTCAAGATTTTCAAGATCTTTATAAAAGGATATTTTTATAACTGTTGCTTTAGAAGTAACAAATGCTTTCCGCAGTGCTTTTGATATTTTTGTTACTTAATAACTTTTGTTTGTACAGTTAATTTCTGGCTATTGTTTGAAATACTTAATAACTTTTGTTTGTACAGTTAATTTCTCGCTATTGTTAGAGATAATCACCATGATAGTGTATTCCAGTGTTTTGCTTATAACCCCATCACACTGGACCACGAACCCGCTACGACCTCAGAAATTTTGAAGAACCTTGGTGGTCGTGGTAAGGTCTTATTAGACGTAGCGAAAGCGTGACAGGATCGTTCCTAGAACGTGTAACAAAATCGTAGCGGAATAGTAACAGGATTTTATCAGGATCATAGCAAGGTCGTGGTATGAACTTGAAAACTATGAAATATTGCATAATCAAGCTGACCATACCACGATCTCACCACGACCTTATTTTTTTTATAGATCGAAGTGGGATCTTCATGGTGTTGGTCTAGTGTGACGGGGCTTTTAAAATTACTGAGTTAAAAATTAATGTTGAGTTTAATTTGCTGTGCAGGATGCATACATACACGGCCATGACTTAAAATCTAGAAAAAAATGTTAGTGACTTAAATCATAACTATAGATATCAGAAATCTAACAGATGAAAAGTGAGAAGATGAAAATTCCCGTTCCATTGACAGTTTTAGACATGTTAGAAATTAATAATCACAAATAGTATTGTTTAATCATCAAGTACGACGCTATAACATGATTCTGTGCCGATCTACAAAAATATATTATTTATGTACAAAATGTATCACCTATTGATGTATAATTATTAAATCAAAATAGAATGTTTCAGAATGCATGTATGGATATTTTGGATTTAACTGTGAAGGATTTTGTGCAAATTGTTTGAACGAGTCGTGTAGTGTATTAGACGGGAATTGTACGGACGGTTGCTCTACAAGATATAGTGGCGATCTGTGTGACATAAAAGGTAATACAACATTGTTTGACCATATTGCTCTTCCAAACACACAAAAACAAACTTGTATCCTTATTGTCAATTTTGTAAAAACTATAATATTGCCCCGGAATTAAATACTTTTAGTAGCACTTGATTAAGTGCATGCTGGTAATCAAACAACAGCTAGCAGTAATAACAAATAACTACTATAATTATACACTCGTTTATTGTATCGATGAGTGCAAATGAGGTTCTGTACAATGTAGTGATATGCAAGTATATATATCTACGTTTTGAATTAATCAGTTTAAATACGCGATAACATTTTCAATACACGCGTCACGTTTTTATTTTATTTTTTTATGTATTTAAGGAAGCGCAATACAAAGATTTTTGCACCTTCAACCATACACTTTAAACTCGCGTAATTACTTTCATACAACTCCAACATTTTTTGATACGGATCAAAATGAAAGAAGAAAAATACTATTCAATTATTATAATTGTATTATTATGTAATAAAGTACATACTTGATTATAATGTAATTGAGATCAAGTATAGAATGCGTTATTGTAGTTCCTTCGACTATTAACACATTAATGTTTGGGTAAATTGGTTTAAAAAACAGGATTACAAAACTGGTACCTTGTAAGACTAAATAAATGATTTAGCAATACCGATTAAATTTCATATCTTTAATTAAAGTAACGTTAAGGAGTGATTAAGTTTTTATTGTCTCGCCTGCGACTTTAGTCGCAGTATGCGAGACAGGTATTACAATCAGGCGGCGGCGATAACGGCGTAAACTATTTGTTTAAAGCTTTATATTTCAGAAGGTAGAAAACCTTGATGCTTCATACCTTGTATGCAGATACCTTATGTTACGAAGTTTTCGTCTCTCATATGTCCATTGTCATTTACCTCATTTTCATGGTTCAGTGACTGCTTGAAATGAAATTATAATTTTTTTGTAAAGTGAAATACTCACTTATTATGAGTAATAGGTTAACTATATTTGGTATATGGGTTCCTTGCAATGTCTACATGTCCGTCATGTAGGGTTCACCTGACCTCGACCTTATTCCATGAATAAGTGATCAAAGTTAAAGTTACATGGTTAAGTCTGTATCTCAGATACTATATGCAATAGGTCAGCTATATTTGGTGTATGGAATGATTGTCAGGTGTACATGTCAGATTGACAGGTTTCATCTGATCTTGACCTTATTTTCATGGTTCATTGGACAATTTTTAGTTTTTGTGGCATGGTCTATTTTTCAGATATTATAAGCAATAGGTCAATTATATTTAGTGTATGGAACAATTGTGCGATGTAAATGTCTATCTGGCAGGGTTCTTATGACCTTGACCTCATTTTTATGGTCTTTAAGGACTCGTTAGAAAAATCCGTGTTTGTGATGGGCATTAATGAAATCTGTTAAGTTTGAACATGCATGAGACTAACTTATTAAGTGAGATATATTAAAGTAATGCACTGAGGCAAAGGGTAGTATAATGCTTAGAAATAGAAATTTGAAATCATCTTGTAACATAAATTCTAGTTTGAAGTCGAATATCTGTGTAATCATCGAGGACGAGATCAAGATATAAAGCAGACCATCTAGTTTTGATAGTAGTTTTAATTTTAAGTTCACTTAGATCTATGAAGGCCGTTCGATGGCATTTAGTTGCAAACTTCCACGCCATTTAGTCTCAGGTGAAATTATTGTCTCATTGGCAATCATACTAAATGTTGCTATTTTTAGATTAGATCATTACATTTATTACATTCTAAAATCAATAGTGTTTTTTTACGATAACTGTTGTTACGCATATCACATAAACATTAATTTCTGATGATAGAAAAATAGCTGCATGTTTTTACCACTTCTTGTATGTTTGTTAATACAATGTATACATTATCCTTCAAAATTATATCAAAGGTAAAACTGCATATCATGACTTTAATGTAAATTCTGATACAGAATTTGTAAAAAAAGTGATTAATCTTCAGAATTATCAAAGAAACAGATGTCTCCATCTGATCCTGGTCCAGCAATAGGAGGAGTCATAGGTGCTATCGTAATAGTCATCATAGCAGTAATAATTGCTGTTATTATCTACAGGTTAGCTTTATTCGCAGATGCAAAAACATAAACTGTCTTTTCACATATATGTTATATTCGACCATAAGCCTTATGGGATTTAATGATTTAGACAGCTGTTCTGTCATTTATGGCAAGTTCATCCTCACACCAATAATCAAGAAGTCATTAAAATAATATGAAAATAATAGATAAATAAAACAGAGAATTCTTACCAAAACACGATCATATCGTATAAAATCAATAAACTTACATATAGACCAAAGGCCAGTCAATTGTTGACACAGTGACATGTGACTTATTTTGGTTTTGGCTGATATACCAATAGGTCAAAAGGGTAATATTAAAAGTATGACCCGGACATGTTTTAGTCATTCATAATAATATAATAGTTGATCTTTAGGTACATAATCGAATCTGACTTAATGATGTGCGAAACACCACACCTGGTGAATTTCAAAAGCCTTAATTTGTTCTTCAAATGCAGACGTTGACCCGGAGGTCAAAGATCATTGTTAAAGGTCACTTTAAAAAAGACCTCACTAAAAGAAAGCTAAAAAAAAATTAACATGCTGAAACAAAATCATACCGCTCTACAATTTCATCAGTGGCTGTACTTCATAGAACATTTTATACAGTATGCACAAATGGTACAGAAAGACACAATCTTGTGCAATGCCTGGAACATATATTGTTTTTTAGTTATCATTATTATGTCTAGTATGCAATCGAATATCATTCAATTTAATAATTTGTAGACGAAGATCAGCTTCCAGACCTAACAAATATTTAAGTGACAGCGAACATTTAAGTGGAACGGAAGAAAACACTTATATCAGTGAGTAGAACTGCACAGACTAAATGTTTGTTTACTCAAATAGAAATGAAAACAAATATATAATAAATCAAATTTTAGGGTACGAAAAATATTTCTTTATGAACCATGAATATCAGTAGCAACTCCAATATGAAGCCTTTATATGTAGATAGTGGAATGTCAGTAAACAATAAATTGCTAAGAAAAATTGTAGCAGTTAATTGCTTTTGCATAGATTTATTTTCTTTTATTAAGAAAAGTTAACTGTTATCATGTTATGCAATTTCTGTGTATCATCTCATTTTAATTTAGATGTCTGCTTAATATCAAATCAACAGCTTGGTACCATAGTTATATTAAATCACTACGTATATGTTTATCAGCTAGTACATGTAGGTTATATCACAAATATTATTTGTATACTGATACTAGTTTTATGTCCAAACGACGAAATATTTGATTTGTTTTTGTTTGAATAATAGTTATTGTACCCAATTTTTATCGGGTTTTCCCAATGAACATTCGGTATTTAAACTAGTGAATTTCACCAGCGGGGTTTTGTCTGGCGGCTGCCAATAGTGTCCGTGCAATAACTTATGAACCGTTCAACCAATGCTTTTCAAATTAATTTGAAAATGTTGTTACCGATGACAAAATGGAGGTAAAGTTTAATATTGAAGATGTTTACTTACACACTATGTATGCATGTATATAACTTATGAACTGTTCAGTCACTTCTTTTCGCATTTTTTTAATTTGATACTTATGACACAATGGTGGTAAAGTTTGAGATTGATTATATGTATCTTTACCATTTAGGACATGCATGTATACACATAGATAGATTGAAAAAAATCACAGACAGGTCAAACAAACCTAAAAGCGCTACATTAGAATACATAAATTTCAATCGTACTGGTTGCCTTCTTAAGTTCAACAATAATTATACCTTCAAAATACAAGAAATAAAAAAAATGGTTTGCTGTCAATTTCACGGCTAATTTCTTGTAATTAATATCAATTTTAGATCATGATCCGTCACCACAACCGTTGAACGAATTTGTAAATAAAGGTTGTGAAGCAGATCTGGAGGATGTTGGAGTGTCGTTAACTCAAAAACATGCTAGTAAAACAAGTGGTTATGAAGGAAGCGAAGAAATACCAGAAGAATACGAGGATGAATATGAGGGAAATGTATATGGTAATGTACAAACAGTAGCTGAGTACAAAATATCCATAGCAGACCTGAAGAAAGTAATTAACGAAAAACAAAAAGATGACGGTTTCAAAAAGGAATATGATGTGAGTTATTTTGTCAGTATACTACCTTCATGTGTTCAATTATTTTAAAGTTAAAAAGATTGCAATATTTTGTTGCACATTATTACCGACAATTATAAATCACTTATTCAGATAAACTTTAATTGATCACATCTTCCATTTCATAGATTTTACCAAGAGGACTTGTTCATGCACATGTGGAAGGTTCTAAAGAAGAAAACAAAATTAAAAATCGTTTCCTTGCAACATGGCCATGTATGTATTAGTAGCATTGAAATATAGGGTTGAATATTGTTGTATTATTCACCTAAAATACACTGAATAACTTTGCTACATGTAGGTTAAATGAAACTATTGATTAACAGCCTAATATCAATAACTCCCTTTTTCTAATTTGGTACATTGAATCTACAGTTTTATTTTGAATTTGGTGTTTTTTGTGCTCTTGTTGAAATAAATAATTGTTTGGTATTATTTCCACTACTACTAATTTGAGTAAACTCTGAGTATTTAAGAAAAGTATTTTTCTTGACTTTCGATGGAAGTCTATAAATTGTCAGGTGCCGGGTTGATGACTGTTTTTTATTTTCTCCTTTTGATACACGTCATTATCGTCTGTTCAATTTCAGATCATCAGTTGTCTCTCTTTATAATGACATGTCTGTGTATGTCAATGAACAATGATTTGTATATTTATTATTATATCTAATGAAAGACCTTTTTTTTTAACAAAAAATGAATTTAAAAACAATTTTTCGTGAGCCTATTCATTCAATAAGTTTACCTAGTTTATTTTAATCAGATTATATGGAAATGCGTAGCTTCCATTAGGGAACTACCATTTGATTTTTATGGAAGGGCAGGGGGGCTAGGATGAAAAATGTTATCCTGCATTTTTTTTAGTTGTAATCTCTGCCCTGCCTTTTTATTAGTCCGTCGTCCGTCGTCGTCCGGCGTCGTCCGTCGTCGTCCGTCGTCGGCGTTAACTTTTTACATTTTGAACTTCTTCTAGAGAACCACTGAATGGAATGAAACCAAACATGGCATGCATGTTCCTTATGAGGTGCTGACCAAGTGTTGTTACTTTGTAGCCGATCCATCATCCAAGATGGCCGCCAGCGGGGGACTTAGTTTAACATAGGACCCTATGGGAAATGCATACAAATGACTTCTTTTAGAGAACCACTGTATGGAATGAAACCAAACATGGCATGAATTTTCCTTATGAGGTGCTGACCATGTGTTGTTACTTTGTAGCCGATCCATCATCCAAGATGGCCGCCATCGGGGAACTTAGTTTAACATAGGACTCTATGGGAAATACATACAAATGTCTTCTTTTAGAGAACCACTGAATGGAATGAAACCAAACATGGCATGAATGTTCCTTATGAGGTGCTGACCAAGTGTTGTTACTTTGTAGCCGATCCATCATCCAAGATGGCCGCCAGCGGGGGACTTAGTTTAACATAGGACCCTATGGGAAATACATAAAAATGTCTTCTTTTAGAGAACCACTGAATGGAATGGAACTAAACATGGCATGACTGTTCCTTATGAGATGCTGACTAAGTGTTGTTACTTTGCAGTTGGTCCATCATCCAAGATGGCCGCCAGCGGGGGACTTAGTTTAACATAGGACCCTATGGGAAATACATACAAATGTCTTCTTTTAGAGAACCACTGAATGGAATGAAACCAAACATGGCATGAATGTTCCTTATGAGGTTCTGACCAAGTGTTGTTACTTTGTAGCCGATCCATCATCCAAGATGGCCTCCAGCGGGGGACTTAGTTAAACATAGGACCGTATGGGAAATACATAAAAATGACTTCTTTTAGAGAACGAATAAATGGAATGGAACCAAACATTGCATGAATGTTCCTTATGAGATGTTGACCAAGTGTTGTTACTTTGCAGTCGGTCCATCATCCAAGATGGCCGCCAGCGGGGGACTTAGTTTAACATAGGACCCTATAGGAAATACATACAAATGTCTTCTTTTAGAGAACCACTGAATGGAATGAAACAAAACATGGCATGAATGTTCCTTATAAGCTGCTGACCAAGGGTTGTAACTTTGCAGTCGGTCCATCATCTAAAATGGCCGACAGCGGGGGACTTAGTTTAACATTGGACCCTATGGGAAATACATACAAATGTCTTCTCTTAGAGAACCAGTGAATGGAATGAAACCAAACATGGCATGAATGTTCCTTATAAGGTGCTGACCAAGTGTTGTTACTTTGCAGCCGATCCATCATCCAAGATGGCTGCCAGCGGGGGACTTAGTTCAACATAGGACCCTATTGGAAATACATACAAATGTCTTCTTTTAGAGAACCACTGAATGGAATGGAACCAAACATGGCATGAATGTTCCTTATGAGGTGTTGACCAAGTGTTGTTTCTTTGCAGCCGATCCATCATCCAAGATGGCTGCCAGCGGGGGACTTAGTTCAACATAGGACCCTATGGGAAATACATACAAATGTCTTCTTTTAGAGAACCACTGAATGGAATGAAACCAAACATGGCATGAATGTTCCTAATGAGGTGCTGACCAAGTGTTGTTACTTTGCAGTCAGTCCATCATCCAAGATGGCCGACAGCTGGGGACTAAGTTTAACATAGGACCCTATGGGAAATACATACAATTGTCTTCTTTTAGAGAACCAGTGAATGGAATGGAACCAAACATGGCATGAATGTTCCTTATGAGGTGCTGACCAAGTGTTGTTACTTTGCAGTCGATCCATCGTCCACGATGGCCGCTAGGGGGGTGGGGGGTGGGGGTTTAGTTTAACATAGGACCCTATGGGAAATACATACAAATGTCTTCTTTTAGAGTACCACTGAATGGAATGAAACCAAACATGGCATGAATGTTCCTTATGAAGTGCTGACCAAGTGTGGCTACTTTGTTGCCGATTTACTGTTCAAGATGGCCACCAGGATATTTTATTAAATAACGGGACCAATATTAATCCAAATTTGGCCTCAATCATTATTTGGGTATCTGTTATGATTTTTATCTATCTTTACATGATTTCTAAAACCAAAGTAGAGTCAGGTGAGCGACACAGGCTCTTGAGAGCCTCTAGTTTTTCACTCTATTCGGGCCTGCCTTTTTTTATAAGTTTATCCTGACTTTTTTTACATAAATTGTCATCCTGCCTTTTTTTCTTTTTGCAAAGTTGCTCATCCTGCCTTTTTTTTTACTCAAAACTGCTGTCCTGCCTTTTTTTCAAATTTCATCCTATCCCCGACACTTACTGTTTTGATAGTTTAATCTTTGAATTTAAGGTTTTAGATGTTTCTTTTGTATTGTATTGCATGGTAATTGGTAAAATATTTTTGAATCAAAAAAGTACTTTGGCAACATGCCCAGACGAGATAGTCAGAAATAGGCACCTGATCTATCGTATATAACAGAATAGTCGTCTGATCCGTAACTTAACCGTTTGTGTCCTATTCCCAATTGTGACATTTAAACGAAGTGTGAATTTGCGCTACTGGTCTATTTCCTTTTTGAGTTTATGCTATTTCCTCAGTTTTTGTTTGTTACCTTGATTTGCCTCTTCGTAATCGATTTATGAGATTTGACGCCGACTTCCCTTCATTCATTCACTCCAAAGTCGTCGTAGTCTTTAATTTCGCGCCTTCAAACAGTTTGCCTCTCTTGAGGTAATGGCCAAGATATACCGCTGACGGTAATGTATAAGGCAGAAACATAGTATGAGATTAAGCTACATTTTCAATGAAATTTAGTTTGTTTAACACTTTACCAGATTGCGTAATGACAACATAGGTTGCATTTTTGTAAATATAGACAATGCAATTTCCCATAGGAACTCCCTTTATAGCCAAAACTGCGCGACTTTTACCATGTTTACTATGAGGTTTTGTAGAAAATGATATCCTAGAATGGAAAGTTGATATGCACTACGTTTTTATTCAAAGGTCAAAACATTGTGCTGTGCGGCATATTTTCAACATTTATATGCCCCGAACTTCTAAGAGTTTAAACTTATACTAACATTCTACACTACCCCTCCCTTCACCTTATGTCTTACTCAGAATTCAATTCCACCGCCTACCATGTGCATTTATACTGGTGACATTCCCAAGTTATGTCTCTATGAGATGAAACATAGAGATCATATCTGGGAACCAGTACGTAAACGAAACAAAATATCCATAAATATTATATATCTCCCCAAAAGAGGCGTGGTGTATGAAACAGCTGTATTTACAAAGTGCAACCTATACTAACATTTATTCAAATAGAAAACTCTTGAACAACACTTTTTCTCACATCAATACTTATTTATCAGAATCATAGCCTTAAAGAAATCACTGTATATACTCTTAACTTTTCTTTTCTTTTACAGTACGTTTTATACCCCCACCCCGGTTTCTATTTTGAAAGAATTTGAAACAAGACTTTAATTATTGTCAGCTTACCCTATGTGCATGTTTTCTGACATGAAATGTATAGAACCTGTTTGAAACTATTCTGATAACAAATTGAAAGCATTTCAGAATGCTATAAATGTAAAGTTTAGTAGTTAATAATTCCAACATTCAAGATTATATAAAATATCCAATCCTGCCTCTGTCTCCAGTCCACATCTTACTGTATGCCTATTTATCAATAAAAGTTCACTATTTCTGCATCAAATTGTCAGTTTAGAAATCTTGTCACAACAATGTCATCTCTAACCATATATCTAACATAATTTAGCTAATATATGAACTAGAAGTGTTTAAACAAAGCCATATCTGCAAAAGTTGTAAGTATGAAGTTACCAGTCTGATGTATGCATTCAATAAAAGTTTTATAAATTGACTGCTTACATCTGTTTTTTGCATATTTTCTAAGAACAGTTATTGTTTTCTTTACAAAAGACCTTTATAATAATAAAATCATAGCATTTACAGGTTAAATTATCTGTTTTATGACCAAGGGGGTAGGCATTTATCTCTATTTTTTGCCCCTGGGGCCTCAAATTTGCTAAATAATTCTGCTGTTTCTATGAATATGAAATATTTAGTACATATTTAGGATAGAACACACAATTGTTTGTTTTATTGAGGTATTTTTGTATTTCTAGCTTGTATTTTTTTATGCCACGGTCACAAAAAAGCACATTCAGGTGTTACGGCTTACTTTTGGGTTATGGACAGGACAAAAACACCCTAGCAACAATATTCATCAAGGATCTATGAGTTTCAATGACTGCGAAGAGTA